ATGAACCGAATGGTCGCTGGTTTGATTCCCTGTCAGGTCACATGCCTGGGTTGCGCACAAGGCCCCCGGTTGGGGGTGAGCAAGAGGCAATTAATCATTGTTTATCTCACACACGGATGTTTCTCCCCCTCTCTTTCTCCCTTCCTTCTCCTTTCTCTGAAATAAATAAAATCTTTGCTAAAAGATGCTAGTGCATCAGCTGCATTTCTCATTTGGTTTGACTTATGCTTCACTTTTACCTTAATTGAGTTATGCACATGTTACTGGATATTAAAAAATGTCTCTTAAAAGTCTATTAGTGCACTCACAGCAATAGAATGCTCTTCTCTGCATAACTTGTCCTTACTGATCCATTCAGAAATATTGGTCAGTACATACTGTATTTAATTGCATTACCTGGCATGTGATATAATAACTATTTATTTAAATACTGAATCATCAGAAGTGTCCTCTCCTAAAATGCTTTAAATAATATAGGAATTATCTTTTCCACAGCATTTAATAGATACTTTCTATAAAACTGGTACCAATGCCTTTTCAGGGGTTGGGGAGTAATACTTTGGCAACTTTTTCTAACTTCATATGTGTGTGGTTCTAATCTGTTCTGGCTCTCGTCTTTTTAGATTTTAAGAACAAATTTTACCAAAAGTATATGTAGTTTGCTAAGTAAAGATCACTTAAAGAATTGAATAGTTCCACAAGATTTGTTAAGACAAACACCAGACCTTAGCCTCTCTGCTTTCCATTTTCTCTTCCCCAAGGCTATCACTTTCAATTCTTAGCTAATTCTTTTGATAATTGTGTGCCTATCCTAAAATGATATACTTGGAGCTACTTAATTTTTTTACTAGATATTATCTATTGGCTTCCCCTTGGTTAGAGTAAGAACTTTGTTAAATGAATTTGTTAATTCCTCCTTATAATTCCACTAGTTTTGGTCTGTGCATTTCAGTGAACACTCCTGCCTCCATCTTCACAGTATACCATATTTTTCAGGCTGTAAGACGCATTGGACCATAAGATGCATCTAGGTTTTAGAAGAGGAAAATAGGAAAAAAATTTTGAAGCAAAAAATATGGTAAAATATTTAATAACATAAATAACATAGGCCACCACCCCCCTGCTCCCACAGCAAGCCGGGTAAGCTACATTCGGACTATAAGACGCACCCCCCATTTCCCTCCCAAATTGGGGGGTGTGTCTTACAGTCTGAAGAATACAGTAATTAGAATTTTCATTAGATTAGCAGTTCTCAGAATATACTCCAAGGATCCAAAGGGGTCTCTGACACTTTTTCAAGGGATCCGTGAGGTCAAAACAATTTTTATAATAATGCAAAGACCTATTTGCTTTTTTTCACTCTCATTCTTCCATTAGTGTACAGTGGAGTTTTCCAGAGGCCATGTGATGTACGATATTGCAAAAGTGTAAATGCACCAGCAAATATGAGAATCCGGATGTCTTCTCTTAATGCAAAATGTAAAAACACTGCCACTCTTCTCATTTTGAGGGGGAAATAAAATTTTTATAAAAGTTGTTTAGATTAACATATAATTATTTTAAAATAAATTAACAAATATTTTATAATTTTCTTAGTTTTAAATTACCTAGAGCTTTTAAAAGTTTACCCTAGCTTCTTTTTTTTATTTTTAAAAGATTCTATTTACTTATTTTTAGAGGGGAAGGGAGGGAGAGAGAGAAACATCAATGTGTGGTTGCCTCTCACGAGCCCCCTACTGGGACCTGGCCCACAACCCAGGCATGTGCCCTGATTGGGAATTGAACCTACTGGTTTGCAGCCTGGCACTCAATCCACTGAGCCACACCAGCCAGGGCCACCCTAGCTTCTTATCATAGCCGTAGGCAGGAGGAGCCAGAGCTCAATAAATGCTAGTTGAAGATGTCTGCATTGCTTGCACATGTGTATTGTAACACCAGTGCTTCTGGCCTTCTATTGTTTTTGTGCTCTTCTGGATGATCACCTCTTACCCAGTACAATTGTGCATTTCCAAAGTCATCTGTACATTACATGCATGTAGAGGGGTTTTAATTGTCAGAAGGACATTGTACTGGATATTTGTCATTTGCAGCTGCCCAAAATCTTTTGAACACCTCCTTTACATCTGGATAGCCTGCAGATTGTGAGCCCACTTTCCCAAGGTAGAATCATAGTTTCAGTGCAGATACAAGATCTAGGTTCCCTTGGTCATATGTACTTGAGTAGGGTTTCGATGCAGATGTGAGCAATATGGAACAATATTGCACATTTAGAACTATTCTCCAATATGATAACCATTTAAATTAATTAAAATTAAAAGTTCAGTTCCTCAGTTGCACTGGCCACATCACAAGTGCTCATGGACACATATGACTGACAAGTGCATAACAGAGCATCAAAGCTGATAACTTCCATCAGTGTAAAAAGTTCTGTTGGATAGTGTTGGTCTAGAAGGTGCAATGGCAACTACTTTTCTGAGCAGCTAATCCAGAGCAAGATCCATGCAAAGCTGCAGGTGGTAGAGGTGGCAGTGGCACTAGTGAGTTTTCTAGAATGGTTCCACAATGTGGTTGGGTGCTCTGAGGCATTCAAGCATAGCTCTCCCATCCTCCTAGAGATTTTGTGGCTTTCCCAGCATCCCTTAATCATAACCTCTTTCTCCTAAAATCAATTGAGTGGACTCCACCTTGCTCAGTTAAGGACTCCGACTTATGCTGAGGTGACTTCTGACACTCTTGATGTTGGAAAGGACAGTTGAATAACCCAATTAGCTAGTTTTATGGCTAAGATTAGCTTTGATCTGATGTATTTCATTTCCACCATAAACTGTCTTATTAAATGATATTGAGATGAAAGAATATTGCCATTAAGGAGAAATTAGTTTGAAGTATCTCAAAATAGCAAATTGCAGTTATTAACTTAGAGAACAAGGGTTTCTGTAGATTTTGATCATCTCTAGGGTCACCATGTTAGTTTCACAACTTCCAGAGCCCCTTAAGAGAAAAGGAAGCCTCTGCTTTTATACTGCCCTGAAGACGACCTGACTACAAGGCATAGCGGGACATTCCAGGCATCTGTAAAGTGTTTCGAAGAGGGCCTGAATTGTGTTCTGAGAACATGAGTTGATCTCCAGGGCTGTGCTACGGCATCTATTATAGGGCTGACGATCTTTAGGCAGATGGGAAGTTAAATGATTGTATGGACTGTTTACCTGTCCTCCAGTGTTATTTCACCATCTGCCTTTGTGGGGGTTGTGCTAAGCTATCTCAGGAGTCTCTTTTCGAAGGTCTCTAGGCCTTGGCATCAAAATGATGCTTTCTGAGACCACAATATCCTTGCTACTTACCTTTCCTATAAAAAGTGGGGATTGAACGTTAAGAGGTAGCATTCTAGTGAATGACCTTTTGTAGAAAAGAATGATAGTTTCTTCTTAAACTCAAGATAACTGACATTTCAAAATATAAGGAGGCTTTTTCCTTAATCATATTTCTGCTGCTTGTCAAAGAACAAAGGCATTGAACAGAATATCATCCTTTTAAATTGCTGTGCTACAGCCCTGACTGTTGTGGCTCGGTCGTTTGAGTGCCATCCCATGTACTGAAAAGAGGCAGTTTCGACTCCCCGTCAGAGCACATACCCAGGTTGTGGGTTCGGTCCTTGGTTGGAGCACTTACAAGGCAATCAACCAATGTTTCCCTCTCTCCCCTCTGCCTCCTTCCTCTCTCTCTAAAAGCAACGAAAAAAAAGTCCTTGGGTAAGGATAAAAAATTTTATAAAATAAATAAATTGGTGTTCTGGGTTGAAATGCTATTTATTTGGAAAGTTAGTCTTTTATGCCCCCCTCTGGACATAAAAGATCCCCCCATCTGGATTGTTTGTCTCTTGTTTTTCTTTCCCCATTAGTTTTTTATTGAGGTATAATTTATTGAGCTGTATTAAGGTATAATGTACATACCATAAAATTCCTTGTTTTAAGTGTACAATTCAAATATTTTTAGAAAATTATGAGTTGTACAGTCATCACAATTTAATTTTAGACCATTTCCATCACCCCCCTCCCACCAAAATTCCCTCTTCCCGTTGACAGTGCTTCTGTCATCCCACTCCCAACCCCAGATAACACCGAATCTTTCTGTATAGACTTACCTTTTCTGTGCCACAGGCACGAGCTGCCATTGTACTGTCTTTTATTGAGTGCATTTCCATCAAGTCCACCTGTCTTAGTATCACCTCCATTCCACTTCCCTTGGCATCTCGGCAACCAGTTCCTGAGCCTTTGGGTGGGTGGGGAGCTTGTATCTCAGTCAGGATGTTTTATCCACTGCCAGTTTAGGATTTAGCTTTCTGGGTATGCTGAGTCAGTTGTCAGTCATTCATTTACCTGTTCACCAGCTTCCAGAATGCTATTGATATTTATTTCTCATTCTTTTTTTCCTGGTGGGTTTATACTTTTAAAACAAAAACAAAACCAAAAAACTTTAGTGTATTTTTAATGGGGTTTCAGAAATAAGCATGTGTGGTGGGGAGGTAAATACATGTGTGCAATCTACTACCATCTATACCTAGAAATCTTCCCCACTAATATTGACTTACCCTTTTCACTTATTTAAGGTGACTTAAAGACTCTGGAATGTGCTCATTGTCCTTAAGGAATGTAGAACTCCAGTTAACTTCTGAGGGATACATATTCTATCATGCACACGTTGGTCTTTTCTAACACGGGCCCTGCGTGTTAAAAGTGGGTCATGTGAAGAGTGAAGGGGAGCCTGTTAACAACCAGTAGCTGACCCTGACCCCACATGTGTGCATGCTTCCCGGGCTGTATCTGAGTCAGCATTTGCTCCTTGTTTGACAGGTTTTTAGTCTGTTTGCCCATTACCAAAAACGTCACAAGCATTTAAAGATCCAAGCTTGGTCCTCCATGCCTCTCTCTTTGTCACACCCTCTGTGCTTTGGCTTTGTCTTAAGTTTTTTTAAGTCTTAACACTTTCTTTTCCCATAGGATCATGGATTTTCCTGGACACTTTGAACAGATCTTCCAGCAACTGAACTACCAAAGACTTCATGGCCAGCTCTGTGATTGTGTCATCGTAGTGGGAAATAGGCATTTTAAAGCCCACCGCTCTGTACTGGCAGCCTGCAGCACGCATTTCCGAGCCCTGTTCTCAGTGGCGGAGGGAGATCAGACCATGAACATGATCCAACTGGATAGCGAGGTAGTGACAGCAGAGGCCTTTGCCGCACTGATTGACATGATGTATACCTCCACCCTCATGCTGGGGGAGAGCAATGTTATGGATGTCTTATTGGCAGCCTCTCACCTGCATTTGAACTCTGTTGTTAAGGCATGTAAACATTACTTAACGACAAGGACGCTGCCCATGTCTCCCCCCAGTGAGCGTGCTCAGGAACAGAGTGCCCGCATGCAGCGCTTCTTTATGCTGCAGCAGCTGGGACTAAGCATCGTGAGCTCAGCCCTCAGTTCCAACCAGAGCAGTGAGGAGCAGCAGGCCCCCCTGAGCTCGTCGATGCGCAGTAACCTGGATCAGCGGACACCGTTCCCCATGAGACGCCTTCATAAGCGCAAGCAGTCTGCAGAGGAACGGGCCAGACAGCGCCTCCGACCCACCATGGATGAGTCTGCCATTTCCAATGTTACACCAGAGAATGGGCCTTCAGGGGTTCATTCTCGAGAGGAATTCTTCTCACCAGATTCTCTGAAAATTGTGGATAACCCTAAGGCCGACGGAATGACTGACAACCAGGAAGACAGTGCCATCATCTTTGACCAGCCTTTCGGTGCTCAAGAAGACGCCCAGGTGCCTAGCCAGTCTGACAACAGCGTCGGCAACATGGCACAGTTGTCCATGGCTTCTCGCGCAACTCAGGTTGAGACTAGTTTTGAGCAGGAAGCTGCAACTGAGAAAAGTGGTTTTCAGTGTGAAAATGGTGAGGTTGGCCTTGGTGAGAAGGAGCACATGAGAGTAGTGGTTAAATCGGAGCCCTTGAGCTCTCCTGAACCTCAGGATGAAGTGAGCGATGTGACCTCACAAGCAGAAGGCAGCGAATCTGTGGAGGTGGAAGGAGTTGTGGTCAGCGCTGAGAAGATAGACCTCAGCCCTGAGAGCAGTGATCGGAGTTTTTCAGATCCCCAGTCTAGCACTGACAGGGTAGGTGATATCCACATTTTGGAAGTCACAAATAACTTAGATCATAAGTCTACTTTTAGCATTTCAAATTTTCTTAACAAGAGCAGAGGAAGTAACTTTAGTGCAAATCAGAACAATGACGATAATATCCCAAACACCACGAGTGACTGCAGGCTGGAGTGTGAGGCCCCGTATTTGTTGAGTCCAGAGGCTGGGCCTGCGGGTGGGCCCTCCTCGGCCCCTGGCCCTCATGTAGAAAACCCATTCAGTGAGCCTGCAGACTCCCATTTCGTTAGGCCCATGCAAGAAGCGATGGGCCTGCCATGTGTGCAGACATCAGGCTATCAAGGAGAACAATTCGGGATGGATTTTTCCAGATCTGGTTTGGGCCTCCACTCCTCCTTCTCCAGGGTAATGATGGGTTCCTCGAGAGGAAAGGCCAGTAACTTTCCATACTACCGCCGTATAGCTCCCAAAATGCCAATTGTAACTTCTGTCAGGAGCTCACAGATACCAGAAAACTCTGCCAGTTCCCAGCTTATGATGAATGGGGCCACGTCCTCATTTGAGAATGGGCACCCTTCCCAGCCTGGCCCTCCACAGTTGACCAGGGCGTCTGCTGATGTCCTGTCAAAGTGCAAGAAGGCTTTATCAGAGCACAATGTCTTGGTTGTAGAGGGAGCTCGCAAGTATGCCTGTAAAATCTGCTGCAAGACTTTTTTGACCTTGACAGATTGCAAGAAGCACATTCGTGTCCACACAGGTGAAAAACCCTACGCCTGCCTGAAGTGTGGCAAGAGGTTCAGTCAGTCCAGCCACCTGTATAAACATTCTAAGACGACGTGCCTGCGCTGGCAGAGCAGCAGTCTTCCAAGCACTTTGCTCTAACCTTGACTTTTAGAGATCGTGCTGATTCTGGTTGTAGGACCGAAACTAAAATGTGTTTTGGTTGAGGGCTAATGCCCCTGGGTTTGAGGTTTCAGGCTGTCTGATGGCCTTTGCAGATTTCCATGACTCGGTGGAGAACTAATAGTGCGAGTGCTGCTGCGTTTCTGAGTGCGATGCACGCTTTCAGAGAGATGCGGTCCTCCAAACCGCATTCTTCCTTAGGGCCGAGTAACGCAGTAAGAGAGTAGTTTATAATTGATGTTAAAAGTGGCACATGTAAAAATTAAAAATTAAAGTGCAAAAAAAGTTTTTTAGCAATTTTTTAAAAACTCTGTGAAGCATTTAATTAAATTTCGTATACCCTCTGATGGGGATATTATATACCTGTACAGTGACATAAAACTCATTTATGTGTAACCAGTGGCAACCTTGTGCCCGTCTGAAAGGCCCTCGAGGACGACACACCTGTTGGCCACAAATGCTTTAAAGCCTATCATGAGCACGTCCTCGGCCTCAAGAAGTACTGTATTTTTTATTTTTGTCTGATTTGCAGTCACAGACACTGCGCTTCGATGGTGCTGACACTGGGTCCGGAGTGAGCATTCTCTGGGCTGTTAAGTGTATATACTTTTGAAAACATCACTGTTAGATAGATGTTTTAACAATTATCCTGGTTTTAAAAACAAAGTTGTAAATGCAGTGTGTACTTGTAGGGAGTGATAAGTAAGATATTGTTTCTGTGTGTGCTGTTTTAGCAGTATTTTAACCAACTTGTATACATATGTTACAATTCCACGTTTGGAAGTCAGAAAAGAGCTAGTGTTTGTCTTTGTTCCGATGATGTGGAGTCCTGTTTGGTGGGATCTGTCATAGCACATTCACCCTTTGCTCCATCCAGATTTCGGGGCCAGTCTGGCCCGACACGGCTCACCCAGTGGCACACCTGTTCTCTGTTCACTTCTTCACCCTCTCACGTCCTGTAAGGCTTCATTCCCAGGCCTAGATTGCTATTTTCGGTTACAGGCTAACCAAAAACCGCAGGTGTTATTACTGTTATATACTCCGAAGTGCAGAAGGTGAACTTTGGTTGTTGTCCCGGCCCAGTACTGAGTGTTTGAAATCTAAACATAGCAGTGTTCACGGTTATTTTCCAGGCTTTATAAGACAGTTGGATTGCCCAGAACTAGAAGTCACCAAGTAGATTCTGAGACTGTTGGGAGAGACCTTTGGGTCACTGTCCAGGGCCTCTTCAGGTCCCACTGCCTCACCCCCCCAGCCCACCTTGCAGTCATGCGGCCCCATGCTGTCAGGGCTGCTGTGGCACCTGTGTCGGGCTGAGCGCTTCCTGGGAACAGCACAAGTTACTGTGTCTCCGTAGAGCTCCTGAGGTCAGTTTAAATCATGCATGAACATGTGCTCATTTTTTATACAGCTTTTTAAGACACCAACCATTGTGCATAATTGAGAGAAATCCTTTGGTTCTTCTGTTTAGAAAGTTAAATATGTGTAGCCTAAAACAAAAATTAGCCTTTTTCCTCTCAGTATAGTGTGTGCAGTTCATGCACACTGTTTGTGGATACGCACACTGTCTGCGGATGCGCATCTGTCTGTGGATAAACCCATAACGTCCATAGTTGGCCTAGCATCTCCTGTGAACAGATTCCCACGGAGGAAAGGAAACAGACTCCGCTCCTTTCCAGCAGCTGTGGGAAAGAGACCACTGGCAGACTTGGTGTCACCTGTGAAATTCAGGGGTGTGTATGGCTGATTGTCAGCATTTGGGTTTTGACTTGATGTGAGGAGGCTCTACATCCACCCCTCTACACGACGCGGGGACCAGTGTCTTGTGAGATTAACCGTGGAAGACAGGTGGGTCCGCATGGACAACAAGAGGCCTGCCTGGGCCTGGGGAGAAGAACCGGTGACGCTGGGAAGAGCAGTGGCAGCCCTTCTTCCCTTCCATCTGAAGGGGGTGGTGCCAGGAGGCTGCCCCTCACCTCATCTCAGGCTTAAGTGGACTTTGCTTCGGGGCCTGTCTCCAGCGCAGTGGCCGGAGTCCTGCCTTTCCTCTGCTGGGTGGGATCTGGAATTGCTCATCTACCTCTTAGTCAATCAGTTTCCATGTGAGAGAAGCAAGCGTGCGGGCCGGCGTCCTCACGCAAGCTGTAGCGCTTACAAGATAGTTCAGAGGCTCCCTGGGAAACCAGTCCAGGGCTCCTGTGATCCGTAGTTTCTACCTGAATTCTAACTGGTATTGGGTACCTGGATTTTGATTGATTAGCCTTAATTATAGCCTGGCATAATCATTTCTGGTGATCAAATCATAAAGTTCTATCAGGGCACCTATGTCAGTGGTGTTCTCCTGGTCAAAATTTGAGATTTTGAAATAAAAAATTTGTCACATTCATAATCTAACTAAATATGTGTTCTTTTTCTGCACTTAGGTTAATTTTAAAATGAAAAATAAAGGGATGTAGTATTACTTTCTCTGCTAATGCTGCTTTGACCAGAATATTTTTTTTAAATCAAGTCTTGTAGAAAACACTCTAAAGCTCTCGGTAATGACTGTTGGTCATGCCCCTCAGTTCCGTCCCCTCTGCCTCGCCTGCACCCTTCGTCTTCGGGCCGTGGGCACGTGTGAGGTTGTGTTCTCAGCCCGCCTGGGTTTATTGCTTAGTCTCACGCCTTCTGCCACTCCCCTCCTTGGCCCCCAGGCTGAAAACCACGCGCCAGTCCGGCGTGGCTGTGGGGAAAGGGCCGAACCTGGCTCCCTCAGCAGAAGTCGGGCTTTGGCAATGCTGGTGGCCTGGCCCTGGGGAAGGGTGAGGTGGCAATTAGAACAAGGACATCCACCCGGGGCTGGGGATGGGGACGAGGCAGACAGAGGGACCAAAGTGTGGTGGTGCTGAAACTAATTTTAAAATAAATATTAAGAAACTCACTTCCAGTTATTCTCCCCTGGTTCGCTTTGCTGTGTGTATATAATTTGCCCCAGTGGTCTAGGCAGCAGATTTCAGTGTCATGGCCACCACTGGGCTATGGTTTTCCTGTGCTTGGGGACGCAGGCGTGAGGGAATCTGAGCAGAGGATGAGGGGTAAGGCTTGGACAGGTTCTAATACTTAAAATTCGAGGGCGTGAGGACGGAGGTGGGAAGCTGAATGCACAGGTCACTAGATGCCCTGAGTTAGAAAAGCAGATGCCTTACCATTAGCTCCTCCCAGTTACAGGCCAACACAGTCTCTCAGAGAATTATTTAATACAGTTACACACTTTCGACCCGGGTGTTTCCAGCCACAAACGTGGCAGGCACGTCCACCAGCACCAGTCTTCCTTCTGCAGCATCGGTACAGACCAGGCTTGGCTCCCGCCCTGGGGGTCCAGGTCAAGCCTGCCACCCAGACAGCATTTCGGGCACTGTCTGCCTGGCCCCTGGTGTCCTGTCTGGCTACAGTGTGAGTTCACTGGGCATTGGCTCTCCTCTCAGGCCAGCCAGCAAGTTGTTAGCTGCCAGCACAGACATGGTGTTCCGTGTTGCGTGGGTGGCACTGCCAATGTGGGGCAGGATCACTGGGAAGGAGAGGAAGAGAGGGAGGTAAGCGGCGGGTTCAGGAGCCTTAGAGCGGGCCCTGCTTTCATGGTCGTGGCTTGCTGGTGAGAAGAACAGAGAGCCTGCCTCAGGATTCCTCGATCTGCCTTCCCTCCTGTCCCTCAGCACTGCCCTCCCCTGAGGCTGAGGGTCAGAGGGACAGGAAAGGAAATCCAGGTCACTGACACCCAGAAGCGGGGGAGACGAGGGAGCTGCATCCTGAATGTAAGAAAGGGCATCAGCCCACAAGGGGCGTGGAGCACACCTAGCACTCAGCCCTTCCGTTACCAGCTAGTGAGTGGTGCCAATTCCACTGCTCGTCCGTACCCTGCGCCCCTGAAAGTGACGCCACAGGGCTTCTCTCTGGAGAAATAACAACAAGATGAAACGCTGGACAGCACAGAGCAAATGAGGTCACTTGCAAAGAGTGCCTTTTGAGAGCAATACCCGGGCGCTGAACTGGACTCCCGGGCCTTGGGGGGATGGGGACAGTTTTCCCGGCTGTGGTCACGGGCGGGCCTGACATCACAGCCAATGCTCCTTTCTGGCTGGTGTGGGGGTGGGAACAGTCAAGCTTCCAAGGGCTACAATAATGGGGGCATTCACTGCGGGGAAGGCAGCTAAGGACCTTCTCTTTGGGTTTCCAATGCAGAATATAAAGAGAGGACAGGGTCTGGCCCTGACAACCTACCGCCCTAACCGTGGTTATATATTAGTGTGAGAAACCACACCAGCTACCTGAACAGAGAGCACTTAATACAAAGAACTCAAGGTATACCGTTGCTAACTAGGTAACGGGGCTAAAAACACTAGGGCAGTAGTTTTCAAAGTGCTCCCAGCAGCCCTGGCCCGGGAGCACGGTAGACCAACTGAAGCAGAAACCTTGGGGTTCCAGCACCCTGTGTCTGACCTGTCCTCCCAGGTGACCGAGGAACACAATAGTTTGAGAGCCACCGCACGTAGGTACCGCAGAGAAGGACTGCCGGGAGCATCTCCCTCCCTGATACCAGGGGCGTGAGGGGAAGGGTGGGACTGTTCACACTGAGAAGACTGAAGGGAGGCCCCTTGGGAGCTGCAACTCCGGCATCTGTGGCCAGGACATGGACTGGCTGTGGCTCCTCTGAGGGGGCACAATGGTTAACCACGTTCTGGGAAGACTGCAAACCGGATTCCTCGGCCACCACAGGGAGGAACGGCTGCTGCGGTGAAGCAGTGTTGCTGCGGCCGCTCCCGGGAAGGCGGGAGGGAGCCCAGTCCCGCTGCCTTGGGCCCAGCCCGGGAGAATTTAGAGAACCGGCCCCTGCACCACAAAGCAAACCACCCAGGGGTAGGTCTGCAGCCAAGAGACAACAGCTTAATGGCTGGTCCAGGTTATAAATATTAGTATTGTAATTTCACTTGTGACTTCCCACGCTTAAAGTGGTGGCAGCAATTTATAGTGATGGGTCCTACCCGTGAGAGCTACAGATAAAAGACACCCAGTGAACCCATTCTCTGTAAGCAAACCCACTCGGCCCCACCTCCGTTCACTCCTTCAGGGACACAGACCCGGGGGAGCTTGCTCAGGAGGCCCCGCCCCTGTCGGCATGCGCCAGTGCCTCTAATGGCACTAACGTTATGGTCCCTGGGTGTGTCCTTTGTGTTCTGCTCAAGGTAGCTCCACACAGCACCTCCCGGCCACCTCTAACTACTGTGGTCCCCCCAGGCAGCGGCTGACTGCACGGCAGAAATTCAGTGCTTACCACAGTTCTTCAGGGTCAGCAGAGGGTGGTTCGTAGGCAGCGGTTCTGGGGTCGTCACATCCAGCCCGGCAGCCGCAATCTGACCATTGGCCAAGGCCTGATACAGGTCGTCCTGGTTGACCACATCTCCCCTGGGAACGACAGCAGCCACGTGGGTGCCCCACACCTCCCTCCACCGAGGCTGGCCTTTAGGGCAGAACCACCCATGGAATGAATTTTCCCACCAACCTGGCACTTGGCACTGGCCTCTCAAGCAATGAGCCTTATGGTCCTTACAATCTGTTTGTATAAAACCAGCAAGGCAGGTTTTATAATCAGGGAACCCCAGCTCTGCCACTTTCTAGCTGTGTCTCAGGTTCCTCCTCTGGGATGCAGGAGGAACCTCACTCCCGGGAGTGCTGGGAGGTTGAAAGCTTACTGACTTGCACGATTGCACGAACAGGGCCCCATCCAGGGGCTTCTGAGCGGGCTGCTCCCCAGACCACCCACTAAGAAGCAAGGCCGCCTGCCGTCAGTCACCTGCCGGACCAAGGGCAGGCGTGACACATGCGACACAAGGGCAGATGGTGACATGCGACCTCATCCATCTGAGTGAGCGGCCTGCCCTCCCATGACTGAACCACCGAAGTAAAGAACTAATCTGCCAGAGACTTCATACTGGGCACTGAATAATACTTGTACGATAGTAAGTAACACAGCAGCCTGCACAGTTCTGGGTCCGTGTGGGTGCTCGGTAAATGGGAGCCGTCGCACTGTCAGCCGTCAGCGGGAGCCCTGTGTTCACTCCACCTCCAGGCCACCTCCTTTGTAGCTAAACACCAGGAATTACAGGCCCCTCTGGGGTGGAGAGCCTTGGTGGGGGCGGGGGGGGGGGTGGGCAACCTCATCCAACCTCTTCCCTCACCTTTATTTGCCTCCAAACTGATTTAAGCAGGTTCAAAGGGCACCAGTGAGGAAGGGTTTAGAGAGGCCTGAAGGCATCCTGGGCACATTCTGAGGAACAAGGCAATTTGAGTTTTGGGCCTGGCTTCCAGAAGCGTGAAGTTGCGAGCTGTCCCTGACTCACAGACAGACCCAGGTTCAGTGCGATGGAAGGTCGGCCCCGAAGGGCTGCTAAATTATCAGGTCCAATGCTTTGTGGTTTGGACGAACAGGGGCTGCCCAAGGATGCCTGTGAACCTCAAGCCGTCACGTCCTCACTCCCTAAACCAACGCTGTGAGGTGCCCAGCCGCCCTGAGCAAGGCTGGGGGAACCAGACAGGCCAGGCTCTGCTCTCACAGATCTTCCTCCCACCGGACACTCTCCGCAGCCTTCCCTGTACCTCTGAGGTGGCTGGTTGGTTAGGTTATGGGGCGTGGCAAGCTCAGCCCGAGGGCTCCTCAGCAACCCTCGGGGAAGAAAAACCTCAGATTGCAGCACCAGGGCAGCCCCTCTCTAGGCTTGCCCAGGCACCCAGGGGTGCCACCCCAGGATACCTGCTGATGTTGACAAACACAGCTGTTTTCTTCATCTGCTGGAAGAAGTCCTTGTTGCAGAGCCCCTTGGTCGCAGGCGTTAAGGAGCAGGTGACAACGACGAAATCAGACTCAGCAGCCAGCTGGGGGGTGGACACTGAGGGAGGGTGGGTCCCCATCAGACGCATGCTCAGTGCTGGTTACAGGCAGCAAGAGGGTAGGAGGCTGGATCCGTCCTCCCCCTCCCATAATGGAAACTCCCCAGATGCCTCCTGGAGGCCTCGTTTCCACCTGCATGACTTAAAAAACTGTACAGTTGACAGCTACTCGTGGGACCCTGGTGTTTCTCATCATTCGCCCAGCCCCTGGTCTAACAGATGGGGAAACTGAGGCCAGCCAGGGTCAGGAGCTTGTTCAGGGTCACCCAGTGGGATCTGGGCCACTTTGGCTTCCACCAACGTCAGGGCCCAACGGGCCAAGGGAGTGAGGAATGGCTGGAACCCAGCCTGTTTCTGCACACCGAGCCGTGCACCCTGCCAGGGCCGATCCACCTGGGCCCGGGCTGGGGGTGAGCAATGCCCACCAGTTTAAGGAAACCGAATGAAGTTCCCAGCAGCTCTCTACCTCTGTCATCGTCCCTGCTGCTCTGCCCACACCATGTGCAATGGGGACACGGGCTCGGAGGCAGCCCGGCAGTGCTCTCCTGGCACCGGGAGAACTCACTGTGTGGTCTGGATAAGTCTCTGCGTCCCCTGAGTGGCCTCTGCCCAGAGGCAGGTAGACCGGATAACACTAAGGGACACGGCAGGCCCTGGACACAGCGGGAGTTCCTGTGTTCTGCCTACCAATTCAGCCATCACGGAGCACAGGTGGGGCTCCCGTGGAAATCAAGGTTTTACTCACCAAACTCAGCCTGGAATTCTGCTGCTTCCTGAGGCCTGGGCTGGCGCCCTGTGTACAGAAATCTCTGGACCCCAAATGGTTTCAGGCGCCGAGCAATGGCCTGGCCTAGAGACAAGGAGTCGGAGTCACAGCTTGTCCCAACCCCTCAGAAGGCAGGGGCAGCCGCTCCCAGAACAGGGAGACCCTGGGGGCAAGGGGCAGACACTTTCATTAGCACAGTCCCAACGTGAACTGGTCCTGCCTCAGTGCAGCCAGCCCCCAGCCAGCCCCCACTGCCCACAGGGGTCCCTGTGACAGCCCCTCAGAGGCCTGGACACAGCACCGCAGCGCCTCTGTGGTGTGTGCTGTCCTGCCATCTTGAAGCCCATTTGCTGACCTTTCCCGAGAACTGGACTGGCATCCCAGGAGAGGTCTGACCAAACAGTCCCCTCCCACCCTTCTGGACCTTCTGCTTCTGCTAATGAAGCCCCAGGCCTCCAATGACTTTTTGGTGGCACCATCAATCTGCCAGCTTGCTGCAAATCTGTAAGACTTTGTCATGACTGCTGTTCCTGAGACAGGCCTGGGTGGTTGGATTTTCACATTCTGCACATGCCCCAAAGCTCGTGGGTTTCTCCAAGCAACTCTCTAGTGTAAGAGGCAGGGCCACCAGCTGGCCAGACAGGCCACCCACACACTGTGCCCTTCTCTCACCTCTGCACCACGCAGGGTGCCTGAGAACCCGACCACTGCCTGGCTGAGCCCACACCGTTATGCCAGGCTTCTCCAAGTGGGGGCCAGAGGAGGCAAAACGGCTCCGCCCCATCTGCGGAATCACAGGCAAGCTGGGCCCACAGGACCCTCTAGTTCCTGAGTTAACGTCTGCATGAGTCAAATGCCTTCCAGAACCCAGGCCTTGGGGAGCACAGGCTCCCCCACAGCAAACCCCTCTGACAGGCCTCAACCCAGCCAGCCTCGTGCATCTGTTCTGCACGAGCCACCGTCATAAAGAACCCTGGCTCTTGCAACTTGCTTCCATCACTGGGTGAGTTCTTAAGAAACTCCTGTGTTTCTTCTTTATTTTTCTTTTGGCCTATGTTTTATGAAGCTGTAAATGGCGCTGGAGACCTAAACCAAACCATGTGACCTGGGGTGGGCAAGAGGGCAGGTAGGGCCCTCACCTATGCGTCCCAGCCCGATGATGCCGACGGTGCTCGCCGTGAGGCCGTAGCCGCACATCCACAGGGGCTTCCACGTGGTCCAGCCGCCACTGCGGGGAGGGAGACAGGGAGGGTGAGAGGCCCTGGCCTCCGGCAAAGGCAGAGGCCCACTGAAAACTCACAGACCCAGCACCCCTGGGCAGCGGCTGTGTTCCCAGGAACAGGCCCTGCTCTCCAGGTCAAACGACTGAGAGGCATAAGCCGTACCCAGGGCCACTGAGTGCCGCAGACAAGCAGCAGGAGTGACTCTTCCTTAAAGCCGCTGGGAACACAGAACCCAATGGCCGGAAGAGGCCTTAGAAGCTCTCATCCCATTTAGCGGATGGGAAACTAAGACCAGAAATGCTGACCTGCCGGAGATCACACAGCCAGGGCGGAGCTGGGAGCAGCAGGTGGCAAACTCAGGATCTCAGGGAACCAACAAAATGTAAAGCCACGGGCCCACCCCCTGTTGCCCTGGGTGGGCAGGGGCACAGAGCCAGTCTTGAGTCACCTCCATTGAAGGTACGGGGCCCCCGCCCCCAGTAGGAGGGTGAGTGGGATTTTCAGCACTGTGTCTAATCAACCCCACGACACTGTCCAGCTCTGCCCCTGTCACAGCCCTGCTCCGAGCATGCTTCCGGTCCCCATTCTCAGAGAGGGGCCTGCTTTTGCTGAGGCCAGACTGTGCACCTGGAATGCCTCCCCAGCTCTGGATAAGCAGACCCAAACCCCTGATCCGAAACCCGCAGGCCAGATTTCAGAAACGAAGTCTGGTGCACATGCTACTACATTCTACATACCCCCTCAGCCCCATGTGGGGCAGTGCGCTGTACCCAGCACCCTGGTGTATCTGCAGCGAAACATGAACGTTCTCGCTGACTCAGATAAATTAAAACCACTAAGCAGTCTCCTGTTAGTTCAAGTTTTGCTGCCAAAAGATTTATGAAACAACCTTCAGTTTTCAGAGCTTTTGTATTTTTGCATTGGGCGTGAGGAATGGGGCACTCAGGGACGCTACCTGTTACTTCCTCCATGAAGCCTTCCCTGATCCACAGTCCTCCCTGCACCTCCTCATTTCCCTTGTCCTCTTCTCTCACGATTTGCTTTCATGCCTGTTTATTTCAGCTCTGCCTCGTACTGTAGTATTGTTGCTAAGTCTGTCCCCGCTCACTAGATGGGGCATATCTGGGGACAGGGATCACATCTGGGCCAGCATGACACTGGGCGCTCAGGAGCCAGCTGCTGAGGAGAGCCAACTTTCCCTCCAGGTGTTGACTTACTTCTTCACTTCCTCAATGGCCTCCGGCAGCCGGCGACAGGTGGTGAGCAGCAGGGAGACAGCAAGTTCCGCAGTGGCATCTGTCAGGACATCTGGGGTGTAGCCCACACGGATCCCACTACGAATCAAACATCTAGAGGTAACACTGGCTTCAAGCATCTTCACCAATTTCTATCGCTGGGACATTTCCATGACGCTGCTTTGTTCCCTCTTTGCCCTGCCTGCCAGGAAGCTCAGAGCTGTAAATGAGCACTGAGTGATTGTCAGCCCTCATTCCATTTTGATTATCTCCCGATTTAGGAAGATGAGAGACCAGCATCCAAAGTCTGGGGCAAGTAACTACTTAACCTTTCTGAATGTCCTCATTTAAAGAGGGAAATAATAATACTTGCCTTTTCTACTTCAAGGGGTTATTGTCGGGGTCAAAAAAGATAATGAATGTAGAAGGGTGCTACCTGGCCAGATATTTACCCCCCTATTTCTGACCCCTTGGGCTTATTTTAAGAGCCTGTGTCGATATAGACAGATTTATCATCAGCCCTTCACGTTCCCACTGAATAGTCAGGAATACAAAATAAAAACAAATGAGGACTCAGCTCCTCTTCCTGTTTCTGGTAGTCACTCCTCACACCCCATACCCCCTTCCAGAGCCCACGCTGCATTTACCGCTTCTTGATTTCATCCAACGCCAAGTGGTCAACGCCCACAGACAATGTACTGATAACTTTGAGATTGGGCCCTGTTATGCAGAAAAAGCATCATTCTTACCTTTCCTCGTGAGGTTCAAACCCTCCCGCATGCTCTAGATCAGGGATCCCCAAGTCCCTGGCCGTGGATCAGTACTGATCCGAGGTCTGGTTCTGGTCCGTGGCCTGTTAGGAACTGGGCTGCACAGCAGGAGGTGAGCGGCAGGCAAGGGAGCAAAGTTTCGCCTGCATTACAGCCTGAGCTCCGCCTCCTGTGCCCTGCATCAACCCTCCCCCCCCCACCATCCAGGTCCGTGCAAAAATTGTCTTCCATGATTCCAGTCCCTGATGCCAAAAAAGGTTGGGGATTATTGCTCTAGATGGGTCCAGAGGGGCAGGGCCTTGCTGCAGGTCAGAAAGTAAGGCTGTGGCAGGGCCAGACAAGGGCCCGGGACCTTGAAATTGCTCTCCCCCACGCCATGCTGCCCCCGTGCATGGTCTTTGCCCCTCTAAAGTCTCCCTCTAGGGAGTCACCAGCCAGAGAGAGCAGCGATGTGTGTAGCGGATGGAGCTGCACACAACTGCTCCCTCTGGCCGACCTGCAGCCAGTGCCCTCAAGACGCAGAGAGGTCACTGCTGACCTGCTCAGGGAACCAGCAGCAACAGGGTGACATGGCCCACAGGCCAAGACACCTCGGAATCCTCCTCAGACCTTCCCAACGCACACACCTGCGATATCCAGGAGCCTTTTGTCCACGCGGTCAGTGAGGAGGCAAAGCAGGCCGTGCGCCCCGGCCACGCCTCGCTCCAGCTCCTTGTTGGGGATGGGCTCATCTGAATCCCAGTGCTCCACTTCGCAGCTGAGGCAAAGGAAAGACCACTCAAGCAGGGCAGCCCCGGAGATCCTCCCAGGCCCCCAAAGTCCCCCAGCCTTATCTGCAGTCCTCCACTCAGCGTGGGAAACATTGCCTTCTGCTTTCGGGCCTCAGACTGCCTGAAACTGGCTGAGGGGAGTCAGGGCCGAGTACGGGCGACTTCAGAGCTGTCCTGAGCCCTGGCTGGTGTGGCTCAGTGGACTGAGCACTGGTTAGGGCACATGCGAGAGGCAGCTGATCTGTCTCACACACTGATGTTTCTCTCCCTTCTTCTCTCCTTTCCCCTCTCTCTAAAAATAAATAAAATATTTTTTTTAAAAAAGAAATGTTCTGACAGCATGGCTGGAGGGTGAAGTTTTCTCACAAAACAGGGAGGGCTGACAAGGGCCTACAACTGCCATTGTTTCTGCCTTCCCCCCTTCCCCCTCAATGCTGGGTACACACAGGTCCTCAGCAAAGACACTGTTGCACTGAACAAAATGAGGGAATCTGAGGCTGGGTTCCACCTCCTCCTGCCTGGTGTAGGCAGTGCAGACCTGTATAATGCAGTGTTCACACTGCAGTCAGACAGAGCTGAGTTCAGATCCCAGCCCTGCCACATGCAGAGCTGTACGACTTTGGGCAGCGTACTTAACCTCTTCCAGCCTCAGTTTCCTCATCTGTAAAGTGGGGATTACAGTACAACTTCAAAGTGTTGCAAGGGTTAAAAGAGTTTATGTATATAAAACACTTGGCAAAGCTGGCATGCAATGTTCGATTTCAGAGGTGCCACCAAAGGCCCCTGCCAACCGTGCGAAGGACCAGACCGGTGACTGCCAACGTTCCTGACTTTGCCAAGTGACCTTAGAAGTTAAAGGATTAACAGCCCAGACCTTGCATCCCGAGCGGTTTCCCACCTGCCCCCAGCCTGTCACTGAGAGGGGTTCCAGCCAGTGCTTTCTCCTCACTCCCATGCAAGCGGCAGGGGAAGTGCAGACCCACGCGTCCCTGCAACGGGCCTGGACAAAGCTGGGCCCCACAGAATTTTCTCTAAGCCTCCCCCAAACTCCAAGACCGTCCCCGGCCGGGCACAGGTTGGAAAGCCCCGCAAAGGCCCCAAAGCAGTTCTGGCTCTCTCGGGACCCTGTGACGGTCCGGTTCTCCCCACCAAAAGTGACCAGGGCCTCTGAAGAACACCCCCGGCCTGTCCGCCCGGGCGCCCCCAAAGTAGGTCCTGGAGACGCTGAGTCACCCTGCGTGCGGGGGTGCCTAAGATCCCAGGAAGGTGCCCGGGGTTCCGCAGCCCCTTCCCCGACACCACCCCAGCCCCGCGCCCGCCGTGCGGGGAGGCTCGGCGCGCGGAGAGGCGCGGGTTGTCGGGCTCTTACTCGGCGGCCCGGGCGAGCGCTGCCCTGCCCTCGGGGGGGATCCTGCGGGTGACGAACACCTTCATGAGTCGCACTGGCCTCATTCAACCTGCTCCCGCTGGACACTGACCGGACCCCGCGGGCCGGAAGCCGTACACAACCTGGGGGCGGGGCCTCGGAATGGGCGGGTCGGGGCTGAAGAGGGCGGGGCGCGGTGTGGGCAGGGCGCGGGGGCGGAGGCGGGGCGAGTGAATGCTCATTCTGGCTCTAGCAGTGTGTGCCTCCCGCAGTTGTGGGTGTGCGATCGACCCTTAATGGACCTGGGACTGGTTCTGTGACCCGTGGCCCCCAGGGCCTCCCTGTGAGCACCCATTGACCCAGGAGCTCAGGGTCTGACAGGGGTGTCTGGAGCCTGGGGTGGGTAAAGGGACCCAGGGCCCTGTGTGAGTGAGTTGGGGCGTCTGTCCGGGAGCCTACAGCGGCCAGTGTGTCTGTTCCCAGGAGGGGGATGTAGGCAGGGACTGTCCTTATTTCCAGGGCCCGAGTGCCCTGACCACGTTCCTAGGTCTGTTCCACCATGGTCCTACTTTCCTCAGCAGGGACCTTTGGTTGTACAGCTGGGCTCTGACCCTGGCCTATTGTGTAAACACAGAAGGCTGGACCAGGGCCTCTGAATCCAGCAATGGCCTCTTTAACACTTGGTGCAATTCTCCATATGAAGCCCACAGTTGGGGGGTGGGGTTTAACTGGACGTGGGCCGCTCAGCTTGCTTGTCACCAGATGACTGGCAGGTCGTGTGTAGGGCAAGGGCCAAGGTGCTGGGTGGGGCCTTGTGGGGTCACGGGCAGGCCAGGAGTTTGCAGTCAGGTGGAACTGGGTCTGAATCTGGGTGCATTTGCAAACTGTGGTCTCAGTCAGTTCACGTTCTTCCTAAGCCTCAGTTTCTTCAGCCACAAAATGGGGTTATGAGCAGTTACCTCTGAGAGTCACCGTGATTATTAAACAAGCAACATGTGCATGGGCCCCCAGCGGTGTTAGGTGTCCATCAAGCACAGAGGTGGTGCTGGAGAGCGGTGAGGAGCTCAGGCTCTGGACCCAGACTGGTTTTCCCAGCTCTGCTGTGTACCAGTAACAAGTCATTAAACTTCTGTGTTTCCTCACCTGCAAAATGGGTAGTACCTGCCTGCCTCGTGGCTTCTTGAGAGGATGAACTATGCATAGTGCTTACGACAGCAGGTAACACAGTAGGTGCTTAGCAACCAGTAGCACATCCCAGGAAACCCACGCACTGGTCCCCCAGGGCTGGGAGTGGGTCAGAGACACATGCTGAAGCCAGCCTCGGGCAAGTGGGAGGGCCCAGACCTGTCCCTCAGCTCTGCTGCCTTTATCTCTGCCGGAGGCTGTTCCTGTACCTGCTCCCAGGCCTGGGAGCACCCAGAGGGCAAAGGGCCTGCCTGTTGGTCTCTTCTCTGCTCGGTTTATCTGATCCATTCTGCCACCTCCAGCCCCAGACAGCAAACAGAGACAGGGACGAGAGGTGACCTCTTTGGCCTAGGGCCTCACAGCAAGTCTCAGGAGAGGCCAGAGCGGCGCCCCAGGTCACCTGATTCCTGGCCAGTGCTCCACCCTGCCATCTCCCTCTCTTTAAGTAACACATTAATAGATGTCATACCCACACACCGTTATCTGCACTGCTAGGCCACCGCAGGGACACTTTTTGAAATAGCTCAAACATTGACACAGTAAGGTGTTTTTCTGTCCCCAGGCCAGGTACTCTGGGGAACAGCAGGGCCCTGTGGCTTCAACCTCTGTTAATCAGGAGGGGCAACTGGGCCCAGCTCTTCCCACACACCAGGACAAGTGAGGACACCAGGCAAGCTTGTCTACCAGGAGCAGAAGGGGGTGTGATACTTCAGTGGGTCCCCTCCCCCAAAGCAAAGCACCCTGCTGGCGCTCAGAAGTGCTATTGGATGGTGGGCTAGAGCCAGAACGCAGAGCCGGCTGAGGGCGGAGGAGGAGGGACTGGGGGAGGGGTTGGGAATGGGAGGATCTGATCTAGAGAGGAGTCTGCAGTCTGGCCTGGGTTTCACAGGGTAAAACTGACCATCTAATACATAGCTAAGATTTAGGGAACTCTTAGCAAGTTCCAGGCACTGTCCTAAGAACTAGAAATAATAACTCACTACAATTTAAATGTGCCACGTACTGTTACTCTTCCACTTCACAGACCAGGAAGCTGAGGACAAGAGAGGTGAGAGCTTTTGCTTAATTAAAGTCACACAGCTTGTAAGAGGCAGAGCTGGGATTCAAGCCTGGCACCCCGACTCCAGACCCAAGTTTTTTAACTTCTAACCCCCCGTGCAAGCCCGTGGGAGCAGGGAGGGTGTCTTAGTCCATTTGGGCTGCTGCAACGAAATGCCACAGACCGGGTGGCATAAACAACAGACGTTTTCTCACAGATTCAGTTCCACGTGAGAGCTCTCCTTCTGGCTTGCAGAGGGCCGGCTCCTCACTGTGTCCCTGCCTGGTGGAAGGGACGAGGGAGCTCTCTGGGGCCTCCTTTATGGGGCCCCAACCTCATTCATGAGGCCTCTGCTCTCTTGGCCCAACCACCTCCCAAAGACCCCTCCCACTATCATCACAAATGCAACACTTGAATTTTTATTGGAGAAGGAACACAAACATTCGGTCTGTAACAGGAGGTGAGGAGGACAGCGAGGGGTGACTTTTAGTCATTGGCTCAGGGAGGACTTTTGGAGGAGGTTGTCACTTTGGTGGATAGCCAGTGGGGCGTGCAGGTGCTGGGGGTAGGGGAGAAGGCGGCTGAGTTCAGCTGGGCAGGGGCTGAGTTTGGGTGCTGGGGGGAGGAGCCTGGGAGAGGGTGGTTTAGAGTCTGAAGGTCAGTGACAGGTGGGGGCTGGGGTTGCTGTTCCGGAGTCATCAGCATGGAAGTGGCAGCCTGGGAGACACCTGGGCGACTGACTGAGTGAAGGTCAGGTTCAGCTTCGGCAGGGGAACTGAAATGGACAGCATGCAAAAATTCAAAATGACAGTAGGAAAAGAAGTTTTTGTAGGGCTTTTATAATTTCACTTTTACATATAAATTTTGGCTCCCTTTGAAACATTTTGTGCATATGGTTTGAGGTGGGGCTGTTCTTACTGTTTTCCCAAATGGTTAACTAGTTATTCTGGTATTATTTTTAAGTGAGTGTTTTCTCAGTTTTTGAACTAGACAATAAGTGAATGAAACACACATTCCCAGCGGTACCCAAGGGTGCAAGGTGAAAGTTCTTTCTCTCCTCCCCTGTCTCCCTCCACTCAGGCCCTCTCCCCAGGGGCAGCTTCTCTCTCTCTCTCTCTCTCTCTCACACACACACACACACACACACACTTTCACATAAATGGAAGCATATACACTTTGTATTTCCCAGTTTTCTCATGAAAGTGCAGAGTGGTGCCTCTTTGTACTGATGCTGAGCATTTCACGGTGGGAGTGGATAACGCACCGTCCCTAGGAACGAATGAACACTCGTGTTGTTTCCATCGTTATAATTACAGCGCCGTGAGGATGTCAGTTTGAGCATGCGTAAATACATCTGCCAGATAAATTCCTACAAACCGAACTGCTGGGTCAAAAAGTATGTGCACGATGAATTTTGATAGATACAGATAAAATGCTTCTTATAGAGATAGTTCAAGGTATAAAGGACACATGGACAAAGCCAGAGGGGAGTAGGGTCAAGGGCAGGAGGTGGGGATGTGTGGGGAGTATGCAGGGAAAATGGAGACAACTGTACTTGAACAACAATAAAAAGGGAAAAAAAAGGGCAATGATGAAAAAAAAAGGATATTGTTCAATTTACACTCCCACCAGTGATGTATGAAAGCACATATTTCTCCAGGGTATTATTTTTAAATGGTATATTCTTGCAATTTTAATTTGCAGTTTTCTTTTGAGCCAAGTTCAACACTTTTTATTCATTTAAGGGCCATTTCCTTGTCTATAAACTATGTCACTATAAACTGGAAACTATGATACCCTTTGCCTGCTCAGGTGCGTTGGGCATCCCTGGCTCGATGATTTATTTGCAGGAACTATTTGTACGATGGAGAATAAGCCCTTTGTCTATAATAGAAGTTGCAAATATGGCCTTTCCCCTGGTTTGTTTGTTGACCTTGTTGATTATTTTTAATGCAGAAATTTTCTGTTCTAATGGTTTCTCGGTTTGGCCACACACACTGGTGGTGTATCAGGCATCTGTTACTGCGTGATGAATGATCCTAGAACACAGAGGCTTAAAGCAACAGCGACCGTTACCATCTCCTACGGTTCCGGAGGTTGGCCGGGCTCTCAGCTCCAGGTTCTCGCTCAGGCCCTTCCAGGCCGAGTAGTCAGATGGTGCTTGGGCTGGAGTCAGCCTCAGGCTTCTTCACTCGAAGGCTGAAGGTTGATGCCAGGCTGCTGGCCTGAGCGAACACCTGCTCGGGACCCCTGCATGTGGCCTGGGCTTCCTCACCGCCTGGGGCTGGGCTCCACACCTGGGCCACTCCAAGCGGCAGAAAGGGGAAGCTGTCAGTCTCTTAAGCCCTGAGTCTGGAAATGGTGCTGCCTCACTCCCACCATATTCGGCTGGTCACATGGTCACAGAGCCAGCTTCCAGGAGGGGCATGGCGCCCCCTCTTCACGGGACAAGTATGGGAGAATTTGGGGGCCATGCTTTAAAACTGCCACCCCTACAAAGAACTTCTTCACATTGGGTTGAGTTTAAAAACAAAACAAAACAAAACAACTCTCATGCCTTCTAGGCCTGGGCCTTTATGGTTTAATTTTGTGTACAGATTTTGATCTCTCTACTTTTTTCTGACAGCCAGCAAATTGTTCAATACCTTTTATGAAATAATCCATCTTTCCCCCAGCAATTTGAAATTCTACTGTTATCATACCTTAAGTTGGGGTTTCCTAGGGTCTATTTCTGAACGTTGCGTGCTGTTCTGCTCTGTCGAGCTGTCTTATCTAGTCCTGTGTGACTGGACGTGTGAGAGACAGTGGAGGGCTGCTGTTCTAAACCCCGGTGTGTGGGGCTGTTTGTTCTGCAGCGAGAGCGCACTGATACAGGCAGGACCATCTGAAGTCCCCGTCAGAAGCAGAGGTTAGGTGCTTGTATC